TGTTCTAAGGACTGGAAAAATAAGTCCAGATCACTTGGTAAATATTATATAGTCTCACTATATGAGTAAGAGGCTTGAAGTATTCATAATTAAATTGATGAAATGGCAGATGAAATAATGAAGTATGCCTAGTTCCATGAAGAGTGTTAAGACTTAATCGATTTAAAAGTTCAGGGCAATTTATCAAATTATTAGCAATTTTGTAAAGGAATATTAGGCAAAAATAATCTTTTCACCAATTCATAGAAACAAACCATTTTTAAGTGATCAGCTATCATACGAAACTGTATGGGACCGAAAGGTCATGAAAAGCACTACAGTAATGATAGTGTTTACCAAATTTATGCTGAACACGATCAAGCTAGTCTATAGAGGTTTAATAGTAAGGTCCCCATACAACTATTGCATATTCTAGTCTGGAGCAAATGAGACTATTAAAAAGAATTGGTAAAACAAAACATGAAAATTGAGAAGTGTTTCTAATTATAAACCCTAATTGTTTAAATGCACTGTTTACTGTGACCTCTAGATGATTAGAAATGCTAATTTACAATCAAAATAAACACCTAAATCCTTAACACAATCCTGCCTAGACAGCTGAGTGTTATCAATGCTATAATCGTAATTTAAAATTGTTTGCTTCCTGTGAAAAGTAATAACACAACACTTATCAATGTTCAATTTTAATTCACTTAGTTTGCACCAATCGCTAAATCTGCTGAGATCCTCTTGTAGCTGAATTTGATCATACTGACAAGTAATGACTATAAATTTTTTTATCATCAGCAAAGTTGAAAAATTTTGAATACTTAATGACTTTTCCAACATCGTTAACAAAGAGGACAAAAAGTAGAAAAACACAATGTGACCTCTGTGGTACTCCAGAGAGGATGTCAACAGATTGAGAGAACACACCATTTATCTTAATGCTCTGGGTGTTACCCACAAGAAAACTATCATAAAAAATCAAGCCATTTGCCAGCTATACCAATGGCTCCTAATTTACTGATTAAATAATGATGATTTACTTTATCAAATACCTTTGAGAAGTCAGTATAGATGCTGTCCACCTGGTACTTCCTCTCAAAGGCACCCAATATATCATCTTGGTAGACCAACAAGTTTGACACTGTGCTCCTCCCCCTTTGAAAGCCATGCTGTTGGGGTATTATTATAGTATTTGTTAGTTTTGATAAGTGAGAAGTCACTAGTTTGTCGAGCAGTTTTAGAATTGCTGACTTCAATATGAATAAGGTTTCATGTGACAGTTGGGACAAACAATAGCATAACCCAACAAAATTTGACTTCTTAAACAATGAAAGAGTCTTTCTTTCCTTGTTTAATGTGGCCTCTCAAAATGGCACTTCCAGTCAACAATATTTTTGCCCCCCTACCTTTACATTCCCTCTTGTCTTTTTGCATGTTGTGTATATGCCACTGGTGGGCATTGATTGTCCTGGTGGTATTCTGTCTGTGGTCCTATTAAAGAGTGGGATCGAAGGAGAAAGTGCTTGGAGAAGTATAGATGACTATCAATAATAATAGATGTCATAAATGTAGAAATTTATTATTTATTATTGTCCTGTAAATGATTGTAGATATGATCCCCACTCACCTTCTAGTGAAAGAAAGAGCAATTCTATATAGTAATGGCAACAGTTACCTACCACAGGGGAGCACTGAAATCAGTACTCAAATGCTTGAAGAATGGCAATCCGAATGGAAGGGAAGAGAAAAGGTCAAAAATGATAATACCTGATGCTAAAAACTAGGTATAAATGTAGGTTCAAAAAGAATTATTTTTTTGCACAGTTCCTGACCAGAAATGGTTTTTTTTAGGTCTTACACTTGTAGAATAAAAAAAATTAATGATGAAGTCTGCATAGAATATGATGTGGAGCATTACATTTTTAAATGTAATATCTTGACACAAGAACAAGAAAGACTGATAAAAGCTAGGTCAGCTCCAATGACGTATAATATATAGACTCGGTGAACGCTTTAAAAAGTGTCCAAAACATGAATACCTTTGTTATTGTTTATTGTTTTGATACGAAGATGCACGAAGTTCATGATTTCTTACGAAGCATCACGAAGTTGATCTTGTGTTTGAAAACATCATGGACGTATGAAAACATTTTCTCCATTTTGTGTGACAAGCAAATTTTATTTTAAATTGTTGAGAGTTATTAACTTACTATTTTAGTAAAATGCAATACTATTTTATCAAAATAATTATTTCTCTTATACAGAGAACTCTTATACACACACCAAATAATATACTGAATACAGAATAATTCAATTATGTACTCAACTTACTAATCAAAATCATTAGTGAGACTAGTCAAAATTTTTCTTTTTTTATCTGTGCTTTATTAATACTTTTTAAGTTATACTGAAAACAATACTTTGTTAAAGTGAACTGTACAGTTTTATACCTCAATAGGCTCTTAAAATCCATGAATTTGGTGGGTGTCTTGTGTGAAGGTGTGTTCTGCAACAGCTCACCTTTGGCAGTTACCAAAGCGAAGTTCCACTTCTCTAAAGTAATTATACAATACATTCCGTTATTCTAATGTGTAATGAACCCCAATTACAAAGAATATGATAAGTTGGAGAGTGGATAACAGTTCTTGTTGATCTTTAGCTGATTGACTCCATTGTACCATTTTCATTTGTTTCAAGATAGACTTACATCATATTCCAGTAAAATTTGCTCAATTCACTTGGGGAGCATGTTAATGTGTGTAAGAAAGTTTTACTTTTCAGGTCTTATTGTTAGCGGATATTGGGACTGCTTCTTTTTGGTCATGTAGCGTGATGTTTCTTGCAGTATATCTACTCTGACCCATTTCTTAGACGTTACAATACAATTCTTACAACATTGAATATTATAGTATATTTTCTGGGAATAATCCATAATATTATATACTTTATTCACATTTCAATTTCCACTCTGAAAATCATTTTGAAAATGTAGTGTGAGATTGCAAAAAAAATGTCAATACAATATATAATTTTAATTACAATTTTTGTGGGTTATTTCAAGATAAAATATAGTAGTTAACAATAGTCACAAGAAAATAATTTCAGATCTATATTCAGCGCAAGCTTTCCATTTGACTAAAACATCTAAAACAATTTGTTGTTCTCAATTTTCATGGTTAAAGGGATCTTGAGGATTAGAGAATTAAACAAATTTAAGAAACTTGTAAGAATATTCCCTCTTGGCTCCAGATAAAGTGTATCAAATGTAAGGGAACCAACACAATGGCTTTTTACCTGCTAATTATTGTACAGATTTTTGTTTGGCCACAAAAAAGAATTACTAAGCTCAACAGACTAACTGCTTTCATCTACAATGGTGAAAAAAACTTACAGAAATATCATAAAGACAAAAAAGTAAACAAAAGTGTCACAAGTAAATAACATTAATGCAATAGTGGTGAAACTTAATGGATTACCTATATGAATCATAATGTGACATCGGCTTGTCAATATTTGATTGATTTATATAAAAAATCTGTCCTAATTTTTTTATACCATTAAAGAGGGCAGCTGTCATAAGAGAGCTACTTAAAAATTTAGCTGTCATGTATTAATTTTAACCTAAAAACTGAAGGCATTTTTTGTGTTTTGTATTCTTTTAAATCATAATTATAATAAAAACATCTTCATAAAACACAACAATTCTTAAGAATAATTTTTTATTTCATATTTCTTAACTACAAATATAAGGTCACAATTTTAGAATCCAGGTCCCATTTATACACTTTTTCTAAAGACAACAAAATATTCTTAATTATGCAGAAATAAGGTGTGTCACATGCACTTGCAATGAGATAAAAGACATAGATAATATACTATTTCATTCATTCTTCTATTTATTTATTTTGTCTCTCCATCTTACAATAGAAATTTATTTATCCTAAATCGCATGCATTTACCTACCGATGTTTAGTGGAAAAATTATTTTAATGTCGAAACCGTCTTCCTTCATCTCGAGAGGATTAAAACCAAAGGGGAAAAGCTATACGCTTATGCCTACTAAAAAACCATGAGCTGTACAACTTTTCACCCCTGGGTCCAATCACCGATGAGCGAACAGCGGCGAGACAAAGACAGACACACAGAAATCGAAACGAATTAATTAAAAAAAGAATTATCATAATATCCGCAGCTCAGCAGCAGTACCAACAAACAACTAGCTAATTAAAATCAATATATGCGACCTAAAAATAATGTACGTTCACGAAATGCGAAATCATACCTAAATCGAGGTATAATAACAACCTCCATGCCTGTATTGGTTAATTGCAAGATGCACAGCAATTATAAAAATTGATTAGTAGTCCAAATCGAGGCTATGTATTGAAGAGAGAAAAAAAATGATGTCAAAAAAAGCACTTTAACACTTTTAATATTCGTTATTATTTTTTACAGCGTGAGACCATGATTGATAAGAAATCTGTACGACTGACGGGTGAGTTATCAATCTAGCCGGCATAGAGAACAATGAACCTTCCGAAGTTACGATACGACCGCCATTTAGAGATGTCCACCGCTTGGGTTCTGAATTAGCGACATTGCGGTGTCTATCAAAGCAAAGGTCAACAGTGTGACCATTGTTTTAGCCAAAATAAATGCTTTTAAAAAAATGCATGCTCACCTGAGGTCTTTTTCTGTTTCTTTTATTCTCAATTACAATTTAGAACACACATACAGGCAGTTACACTAGCCATAATGAGTAAAAAGAGACTACTTAATTGGTTAGAATAATACGATTCGGAATTTAGTTGTCGAAACACAACCAATCAGGTGATATCTTGTGAAGAAATGTTGATTTTCGAAGAACCAATAGCGATTTAGAATCGACATTATTCACTCAAAACATCCCGATTTTTTAGCAATATGTTTTTTAACACCCATCTAGACATCTTACATTATCAAAAAGCACATGCTGCGATCTGAAAATCACGTTGCAACGGAAAACAACTTACCATGAACACCGTTGATATTGTGTGTATCAGTCAGGCACTGCTGCAAATCCAAAATCCGATTTTCACTTTTACACTGTTTCCACACTTTCCCGAACTATTTAATGGCAGTAATTCTACTTGATTCGATTTTAGGTAACTTATTTTTACGTCTAAGACTGATTATATACATCAAACTAATTAGATTTTGTGTACAAACTGCTCACAGATATAAGACTCCATTTTATCATTACGCTTGTGATGTTGATTGATTGACTGGCGCGCCCTCTTTCGTGTGTCATTACCCGCGAATATTTAAATATCGGATCGCCCATTGTTTCAGATAAGTCTATCGATATTTAGGAAGTGGATTATTAAGTTTTATCATTATATTTTGTGTAACACTTCAATTTGCGTTGTATTTTTTAATTTGATAATCATCCAATACTGTAGATATTGGTAATATTTGTACATTCCTATTTGTACTAGGGAGTTCAACAATTGGAGTGGCGTGCGGTGTTCGTTTTTGAAAGGGTTACAAAATAGATAATAGTACAGATTGACAACAATTTCACTAATCCGCCAATACTAAAAACCATTTAAAACACATTGAACATTTTGACAGGCGACATTTTGCGCTTTTCCTCTTTAATACCCTACGATTACAACTACTGTTACTTATCTTATATAATTACAATTAGAAAACTATTCAAATTCAAAATAAATAGGATCAACTTCGGAATGCGAGTCGTCTTGAGAGTTAATAATTAGCGATTGTGTCTCTACGGTCGCATCAATTATGTTATCAAGATCCCACATTTTTTGTTCTTCTTCTATTACATGTCTTACTGCATCTTTCCAGTTTTGTTCTGTAATATGTTGTATATCAATTCACGTACAGCTTGTATTTTATATGACGTATTTTTTCTAGCCACGTAACTTTTCATTTGTGCCCAAATGAGTTCAATTGGATTTATTTCGCAGTGGTAGGGTGGAAGTCTAAGGACTGTGATCTTTCGCCTTTCCGCCATTTTGTCAACTACATATTTGTTAAACTTAGATTTGTTCTGCTTTTACCATTCCATTTTCGTAAGGCAGATACTTATTCCGCAGCCAGTCAAGAATATCCTGTTTCTTCCACGCAGTCGTTGGAAGTCTTTTTACTAGTCGTGAATGATAAGGTGCATTATCTAATACTATAATTGAATTTGGTGGTATGTGTTCAATCATCTGCTCAAAATACTCTTTGAAAACATCAGCTGTCATCTCCTCGTGATAGTCTTTTGTGCTTTTGGATTGAAATTCCAACAAACCATGCTTAACAAATCCTTTTCCACTTCCAATGTGAGAAATTATTAATCTACTGCCTTTACCAGAAGGTGGGGAGATATCAGTAGACCAACCTTCCATAAAGGCTTGCCTGGAGCTTAATATATTTTTATCTGACCAAATTTTTTTTAGAGTATGACCTGAGTTTACCCATGTTTCATCCTGGTAGAAGATTGGCCTTCCTTCAGCCCGGAATTTTCGTATGAATCTTAGATAATCTCTTCTTCAACATTATCTCCTCCCGGTCAATCAAAAGTGATTTTCGGTCTAATTTCTCCCACCGGAAATAATTTAATTCTTTTAAAACTTGCCACAATTTAGTGCGTCCGACATGAGGCAAATCCGGGTCGTCTCTAAGTTCTTGTAAAATTTTGTTTAGGTTTGGTATTTCTTTTTTGAAAAAAAATCCATGAATTTTCCTTCGAATGCCAATGTGGCAAATTCATCAATTTCAATATACTTTTTCCCTCTCTTTAAGTGTTCATTTATGTTTGGGTTAGCTATACCGAGTTTTTTCTTTCTGATAGGAATCTATATATAGTTGACTTCCCTACGCCAGTCATGTTGGCACAACTTTCGACTATGTTGTGAACAGTGTTTGTGGGATTCTGAGAAACCAGAGCATCGTGAACATTCAGGACAATAGTCTTCTCTCTTGGTGAATAGACATACTTACTGACTGTACGCAACAGTATCGCTGTAAAACTTGATGATGTTGATGATGAAGCCATCACAAACAATCCAACAAAACAAGCACGAGCGAAAGGTACGTATATGTTCGTAGGTATATGGAATAAAAAATCACTCACGCACTGCATATAATTCGCAAAAGAAATATTCGAGACGCTAATTACTGCCGTAGATGCGGAAACACCGACGAGTTGTAAATTACATGCGATCAAAAACATACTAAACAAAAAAATTGTTTTTGTTCGTAATAACTTCACCCTTTCAAGTTAAGTTTCGAATATAAACTGAACAGACGAGGCACGTGGCCAAAGCCGACATCTTTATACCCATTATATTATTAAAAATCTAGGGAATTCCATCCTAATTATCTTGCAACGAATAGTACCTTCGGATATGAAGTCCAGGTTTTCTAGTAAAGTGATTAAACGCGAAGATTAGTATTGAAATATCCAAAGAGATAAGGTATTCTTATTTACAAAATTGTTAATGGTTAAATTCTTACTTTTATTAATATAATATAATAACCAACATTAGTTGTGAAAGTTTTTATTGTTTTTTGCTAAATATATTAGTATTAAAACATTATTAATATTGATAAACATTTTGGAAAGGAAAATAAATGTAAAACGCATTAATTTTAATGAATAAACACCTCAAGAACGCCTATGATGATACAAATTTTACGACCGTTTTATGACTTTGAGGCACATTGTGCTCTAATCGACAGGTGTCGATATTTCCCTCTATTTGCAGTTATTTAATACCAAAGACGTTGCTTTTGATGTGTTTTAGATGGTATGATCGAGAAAAAGAACAACGGAAAGGGGCAAATGGAACGATGAGTCACTAAAAAAGGCATTTAAATTGGTTCAAAGTGGACGATTCGTAAAAAGTGTTGCCGCTGAATTGAATATTCCAAGAAATATGCTCAATGACCCCCTCAAATTCAATTCTACCGAAAAACCAGCCTTGGGAAAGAAATCGTACTTTTCAGTAGAACAAGAAGCCTTATTAGCTGATATCAAGCAAACAATTCAATTAAGCTTTGGAAGACGTTATGAGGAAATTACAATAAGAAAAACGGGGTATTAACATAAATGGCCAATACTTGAATCACTTGAGATATGCAGACGACATTGCATTAATAACAGATAAAAGGGAAGAATTACAAAATATGATGGATGAATTAAATAGCGAATCAACAAAAATAGATCTACAAATGAATTATAATAAAACAAAAATTATGACCAACCAACCAGAAGAATTAATAATTACAATTGCACAAACAAATATAGAACAAGTAAAAGAATATGTATATTTGGGACAACTAGTTAAATTAAATAAAGAAATCAGACCGGAGAAATAAAGGGAAGGATACGGTTGGCTTCGGAAAACTTTCCTATATACTTAAACATAGAAAATACCCCCAATATTTAAAAACAAGAGTCTTCAACCAATGTATACTTCCTGTTCTCACCTACGGTTCTTAAAATTGGACGTTTACAAAGGAAAATATGAAAAAAATAGCAAAGATCCAAAGAGCCATGGAAAGGCAAATGCTGAACATCAGACTATCAGACAAAAAAAATACTTGGATCCACAACAAAACAAAAGTGACCGATGTATCAACGCAGATAGCAAAACTTAAGTGGAAGTTCGCTGGACATACCATAAGACAGAAAGATAACAGATGGAATAAGATGATTATACACTGGAGACCATATAGTTACATAAGAAAAAGAGGAAGGCCACAAATGAGATGGTCAGACGACTTGAAGAAACACGCAGGACCGAAGTGGAGACAAACTGCCTACAATAGAGAGACGTGGAAGAAGGAAGAGGAGGCCTGTGTCCAAAATTGGACAGCAAGGGCTGTATAGATACATAAATAGACATCAAACAACTATCAAATCAATTTTATGCCATTACTTTGACAGATTTGCGGGTACTTGCGTATGATGTCGTAAGGTGTCGAAGACAAATTAATTTTGAAGAATTGTCTTCCGAAGAAGATATAGATAAATCAAAAACATGTGATGACAACGAATTTGATGACAGTTTTGAATTATTTTCCAAAAATATTGAAATGTGTTTGGTTTGTGGTGAGTTTGTTGTAAAACCTGAACTATGGTACAGATGTGTGTTTTGTGGACAATGGGCTCACGCTGAGTGAAGTGGGTATGATTGCTCTGAAAACTATCAGTGTGACTTTTGTTCTATGAACTAAGTTCTTTGTTGTAGAAACAACTTTTGAATTTTAATATATCTACTGATCCTGCTGAACTTCTGTGGTCACGCCGAATCTAGCACTCTATCTCTCTGCGTAATTTGACATAACTTCATTAAATCACGGTCGCCGGTCATCTTTGAACTCATGTTGAAGGGTTCGTGCTGCTTCTGTTTCATTTGGGCCAGCATTAGGTGCAAGACGACTTATGTGAACTACTTTTGGTTTGCTTTTCGGCAACTTATTAATTCGGTATAATACGTAATTTATTCTCTTTTTAATTTCATACGGACCTTTCCATTGTCTTTGCAGTTTAGAAGACAAGCCTTGACGACGTTGTGGATTATAAAGCCAAACAAGATTATCTACTTCAAAGCATTTATTCTTGCATCGAGAATCATATTGATCTTTCATTCTGTCACTGGCTAACTGGATGTGTTTTCGGGCAAGTTCATAAATGTTGTTTATTCTTAACTTCAAGCGGTCGACATATTCTTCGCTTGTATAGTTCACCAAATATAGCTGAAAGTGTGAAATTCCATTGCCTGCGTTAACAATGAAGTGAGAACGCACATACAAACGGTCTGGACCGTCAGTGCGAGTGCGAGGTCCGTCGTTTGACGAATGCGCATCATGATCGTCACGCGTTTTCACACTTTCAGCTATATTTGGCGATCTATAACATGTTCTTCGGAAGGTCTGCAGCTAAACTCTAGGTAGCGGGCAAACCAACTTCACGATTTAACTACAGCAGGTTGAAGTCTGGTCTGTAGTTTCATTCATGGCCGAGTGGTAGGTCATTAGGAATAAATGAATATGCTGGTCCCAATCTCTTTGATGTTCTTGGACAGGTGTTTACCCATCGTTCGGTTTATCCTCTCGACCATTCCATCTGATTGAGGATGCAGGGGTGTCGTTCTGGTCTTATTGACACCAATCAATTTACAAACGTTTTGGAAAAGGATTGACTCGAAGTTTCGCCCTTGGTCGGAGTGAACCTCCAAGGAACACC